TGGGATGGTGGTCTGCGTCCAATCTTGGACTTACGCAATACTAATTGGTTTATCACAGCGAAAAAATTCAGGATGACCACCCTTCAAAATATCCTACTGCTGCTGAGGAAAGAGGATTGGTTCGCTTCATTGGACTTGAAGGACACTTATTTCCATATTTCTATTCACCCTTGTCATAGGCGTTTCCTTCGTTTTGCTGTCGCAGCCCAACTATTCGAATTCACAATATTGCCTTTCAGACTGGCTACTGTTCTGAGAGTATTTACTAAATGTATGGCTCCTGTCTGTGCTTTTCCACGGCTCCAGGGTGTGCAAATTTACCCTTACCTTGATGACTGGTTGCTAGTCTCCCAATCCAGAGAGGGACTTCTTGCCTCGATACGTACGACCTGTGCCCTGTTAGAGGATCTTGGACTATGTATTAATACCAAGAAATCTTCTCTTCTCCTGGTACAGACGATAACTTTCATCAGAGCCAGTCTGGATTCTACGGTAGCAAAAGCCTTCCTTCCTCGGGATAGACAACAGACTCTTGCCTGGCACATCCATCAAATGCGACGAGACATGACGGTTCCTGCCCGGTCCATCCAGAGACTTTTGGGGCATATGGCTGCATCAGTTGCCGTGGTCCCACATGCCAGACTTCGCCTTTATCCTCTGCAGCTTTTGTTCAACAAAATGTTCCGGCCACAAACGGATCTACCGACAAAGTTGATTCGGATTCCATCCTCTGTTCTCCACTCTCTGCTCTGGTGGTCGGTTCCAGCCAACCTTACCATGGGGGTTCCATTCCGACCACAGTGCCCTTCAGTGACCCTCGGTACCGATGCATCCCTGCTGGGATGGGGAGCAGTGTGTTCCAATCTACGCACCCAAGGCATGTGGAATCGCTGAGAATCCAGGAATCATAACAATTTCTTGGAGCTCCTGGCTGTGTTCAAGATCCTGCGTTTGTTCGAAGATGTACCTCGACATCGAGTCGTTCAGATAACCTCAGACAACGTTGCTACGGTTTTCTATCTGAACAAGCAAGGTGGGACAAAGTCGCCAACTCTGGCCAGGCTGTCGATGCAAATCTGGGAATGGTGCATCCCGAGAGACATTACTCCGATGGCAGTACATCTTGCCGGTATGGACAATGTGGAAGCCGATCTTCTGAGCAAACACATGTCCACATCTAACGAATGGGAACTAGATCCCCAGACATGCGACCACCTCTTCCATCGCTGGGGTTTCCCAGACATAGACTTATTCGCCACCCGACAGAACAGGGTATGTGACACTTTTTGCTCAAGAGCGGGAATTGGACACGAATCATTAGGGGACGCCTTCATGATCCCTTGGAACAATCTAAAATTTTACACTTTCCCTCCGATTCCCCTCATTATGAAAGTGATATCAAAGATAATCCACAACGGGGCCACAGGACTGCTGATAACCCCTTGGTGGCCATGCCAAGCCTGGTTTTCTACGCTTCTTCACATCTCTCAAGAAGAATATCTCCATCTTCCACTCATTCCATATCTCATAACCCAGCGAGAAGGCACAATTCACCATCTAGATTTAATGTAGCTGAAATTGACAGCCTGGTGAATCCAATAACAGTTGACACTGCCTCGGTACTGACAGCATCTACACGTGATTCGAATCCTGTCTCTGGATCTGATGCGTTGCTCCACGCTTCGAATCCATTCATTTTCCCCATGTCATCGGATCCAATGAAAGTCCCATCGGATCTGACAACTTTTCACCCGGACATTCGGCACATTTTTGATTCTGTGTTGAAGCCGTCAACACTGAAGTCATTCCTGGCTAAGTGGCGACGATTTTCTACCTTTGCTGAGTCTCGTTTGTTTCTTCCATGTGCAGCATCCATACATCCTTCAGTTCCTATTAGAACTTCACCATTCCAGACTGAAACTGTCTTCTGTTAAAGTGTACATGGCAGCAATTTCCTATTACCGTGGCACAGTTCAGGGTTCATCCATTTTCTCTCAACCATTTATAAAGAGATTCCTTAAGGGACTTTATAACCTTAACCTGACAGTCAGACCAGTGATGACTACCTGGAGTCTTTCTGTGGTCTTACAAGCGCTTATAAGGGCTCCTTTGGAACCCTTAGCGACAATCGATTTACGCCTTGTTTCTTGGAAAACGGCGATCCTTGTAGCAGTTGCATCAGCTTGAAGAGCTAGTGAGCTCTGTGCTCTGTGGGTAGATCCTCCATATTTAAATTTCCACAGAGAGAAAGTTGTCTTGTGAATGGATCCATCCTTTCTTCCCAAGGTGGCCACCTCCTTTCATATGGGACAAGACATTGTCTTACCTGCCTTCTTTCCGTCCCCAATGAATCTGCTAGAGAGATCCTTACACTCACTTGACGTACAGCACTGCCTGACCTTTTACAGATCAAGGACTGAGTCTATTCAACGTTCCAACAAGCTCTTTGTCAAATACTCTGAGCAAAATCAGGGTCTTCCAGTTACTCCTCAAAGACTTTCCAAGTGGATAGTTCATACAATTACTCTATCCTATCAGCTGGCTAGGATTGACTTACCTACAATTCCAAGGGGTCATACTACTAGAGCTGTCGCTGCTTCTTCTGCCTTCGCGTCGGGAGTTCCAATTGACGACGTCTGCAGAGCTGCCACTTGGGCGACTCCATGTGCATTCGCTAAGCATTATTGGCTGGATGTTCATGCTAGGCAAGACTGCTCCTTTGGCAGAGCTGTTCTCTCCTCTATTCTTTGCTAAGGACACCTTCCCTCCTCCAATAAGGGTAAGCTTGCTAATCTACCCATATGTGTGATGCACAGAGGCCATGACGAAGAAAATCAGGTTGCTCACCTGTAACTGATGTTGTTTGAGTGACCATCTGTGCAGTCACACAACCCACCCGCCGGCCCCGCTCGGTGTTAGTGAGTGGAAATATTTTCATCGGTAGCGAACCTTTTTTTCTTTCATGGTACCGATATCATCTTTAGTAGGGACTCCTTTTTTGCACATGGGGGCGAAAGTTCGGTCTTCAAAGACTGAACAAAATGGCAGAAGCTCCGCTCTATATAAGCTATAGGGGGGAGGGGGAGCGGAGCTTCCTGCCAAAACCGTTAGCTTTCAATCTTCCGGCCAAAGGCAGTGCGCAGGCGCAGCACCCATATGTGTGACTGCACAGATGGCCACTCGAAGAACATCAGTTACAGGTGAGCAACCTGCTTTTCTGTAGATAATTGTTAAGTGCCCATTTATAACAGCAACAATAGGTAATAATTTAGGGTGACAGAAGACCATTAATTCGATTCATAGAAACAGACAGACTGAAGGTTCTTGGTTACTTTTTATTGAGCAGTTTCATGCTGAAATACTCCTTGGAAGTCTTATGCAGAGTGGAAAGCCTGGTAGGAGAAATGGCGGCTTGAACTTGCCAAGGGTAATAGCTTTCATAGCTCTAATGAAACAGATTGTAGTCCATAAAAGCCAAACCCCTATGCCATAATACAGCTGTAGTTTTTAAGGTACTACAAAATTTTTTGCTAAGTGTTTCAAGGGGTTATGTATATATAAACAGAGAGATGTCGGAATGTTACACGTGGAAAATTGCTAATTCTGCATCATCATTTATAAACCACTTAAGAGTTTCTAGGCATTATAGAGAGATGACGAGCTAAGACAATCCCTGGACACAGGCCCGCACTCCAAAACAAACGGTGCAAAGGAAATGGGAAGACAAGACCAATTCAGGCACCCAGTGGTGTTCTGTCATCGCAGCAGTATCATATGAGCTGTGCTAGTAGACTGCACTGCTGGTGAGGAAGGAAAGGAGTGTGTGCATCTCAGCAGGCCTTAATGATGGCTGAGGGCAGAGGCCAGCCTGTGCATCCCTTCAGCACTACAGTTGCTTTGGTGGATGTGAGCTCAATTACCTGTGGAGCAGTCCTCAGAAGATGGTGGCTGCTATAAGAAGAACAGCACATGTATCACCTGCTAAGCAAGAATGCAGTTTATCATGAACGAAAGTCTCACTTTGCAGCACATAAATTTTCTCTAAGCATCTTTTTTCTGTTGTTGAAGGAGCTTATGCCAGGAAAATGGCTGTTCTTTTAACATACAAAATGTGTCCTGGATTAAACTGGGAGCAGGCAACTTGTAGTCCTCCAAATGTTACACATGACCCCCATCATCTCTCACCATCGCTTGCACTAGCTAGCATTGATGGAAATTATAGGCCAAAACACCTGGAGGGCCATGAAGTGTCTCTTCCTGGGCTACATTCTATAAAGTGTGGCTGGGCTGTTGCAGGAACATAAAGCAGGGAGGGTATAGAATTCCTAAATAATTACCAGTTTTTAAAAGCTCAGGGTGCTATTTATGTTTGACATTGCATACAATGGGCTAGATTCAGCATTACACTCAAAATGTGATTGCTCAGGTAGCTGCTCCTCAGCTGATACTCCTGGCAACTGAAGTAGTGGGTGGGTGTCTGTCCCTCTCTTTCTCTCTCTACACAACTCAGATGACCCTTGCAGGAATCAGCCACTTTTAAGTTCATGGTTTTTTTTGTCTCTTGGGGAATGTTTATGTGTAGTGGCTTGTACAGCTAGCATAATAGTTTTTAAAGCAATTAACAAAACTCTCTCAAGCTGAAGGGACTTGTAGACATGATCTTGTGCCACTACTAAAACAGTGCTGCTGTGAAAAGAGAATCAGCCAGCTAGAAGGATAAATGCATATTTACACATGTTATTGGTTCATAGAAGAGGCTAAACAACATATAGCCATCACGCAACCACTTCCTATCCATGGAACACACCTTACTTTGGACAGAGGGCAACATTTGGAGCATGAATTCCCCTGTGCTAGTGCATGGTCCAGCTGAAAAACAAAGACTGTTTACCTTTCCTTGACTGGGTCAGCATCATGTGCCAGTGAACTTGCAAGGTAATGCAGTACATAGGTGATGGCTGCTCAGGCTCATCCTTTCCTTGTGCTGTCTTTCATTCCAGGTGCCCTCCCAGATAAAGCAGATCTGATGCTTGACCCACTTATGGATCAGGAGCTAGACAAACTGTAAGTCAGGTTTGTTTGTAACAACCTTGTTTTGTCTGGGGCTCAAAGTCTGCTGCCAAAGCTGTGCATGTGGGCATTCACCACTCAAATAATATCTGTTTGCTGAATGATACTATCAGAGGACTAAGTCCCCCCTAATTTTTTCCAGCAACATGTATTGTTAAAAATTGCTTGTATGCATTTACAATTAATAACTTGATCAATGCCAAGTTAAGACAGTTGCACCCTTCTCTTCTTTCAGGGTAGCCCAGGTTTCAGGGCTCTCTATATCCAACATGAGAGGGGACACTGCAAGCCTGCCTTCCCGCCCCTCTCCCCGCATTAGTTCTCCTTGGAGGCCTCTCCATCACCGCCGAAAAATCGACACCGAGAGTGATGGCTCTACTGAAGAGACAGATTCTTCTGAAAACTAACAGAGAACATAAGCTCAGTTCCAGAGCCTTTTGAATGAAGTAATATGGGTAGTAAGGATGGCAAAGCAGCAGTTCCAGGACTTTGCACCACACATAGACCACTGTGGTCCACAGTCACAGGGCTTCCTCCTAGTAAGACAGAACAAATTTACTCTACCCAAAATTTCAGCCTCTTTGTCTATACTTCCACAAGAACTGAATATACCTTATTCCAGGACTGATTTCAGTTAGGGTTATACTGCCCTCCCATGGCAATTAACTTGAATTTCGTAAAACCATTTTAGTACTAGGGCTGGTAAGTTATCTTTTGTCTTCTTTAAGAATTAATCCTAATACTGCTCCAGCAAATATCTTCATCCTCCAACAGTGAGGGGAGAAGTAGTTTAAGAGCCTGTAGCTTACAGCTCACAGCACATCTGTAATCCATATAAGATTTGTTTTACATTTTTGATGGATATACCCACCCACTAATTAAGCTTGATACCTTTCCAGATTTCTGTTCAGATTGGCTAGAACATTATCTTACTGAGATACCCATTAATGAAGTAGGGAGACCTCTACACCTTTGGACAAGGGATAGATTTTTTTCAGTACCCTCTTATTGGCTTCAGTTTAGGAGAAAGGGGAAGAAGATTATTCATTGTAATTTCATAAAGCTTTAAACTTCTCTGTGACATATATAAAAAATAAAGCATGTTGTACAAGACAACAGTGTGTCTGAGACTTCCCAGAGCTTAAGTATATAAGGTGACAACACTGCTTAAAATTGCTTTAAGTGGTCTCTGGAAACTAAAAGTAAAGTACCAAAGTCAACTTGGAGAAGTTGCTTTCAGCTCAGAGCATGATCAGTATGGGCAAAAGATTTCAAATCTCAACTACATGGCAGTTAATAAATTGTAACTCTTGAAAGAGATCTTTTAAAAAGTAGCTTAGTAAAGCAGTACATATCAATTTTCAAAAGGGGGGAAATTAGCAAAATTTGCTAAACTTTAAGCCTGTTTTCAAACCTCAGATCAATCCTCCAAATTGGTGACCTATTCTTAGACTTGTAGCCTCTGTTCCTTGACCTTAGTATACAGAAGGGGAATGGTTCTTGTCTGCATAGATCTACCCAGAGCTTGAGAGGCTACATCTGAAGAAGAGAAAACTCACAAAAGTAGAACACACAGGCAATTGTTTTTATTTTTTTTATGGGGGGGGGATCCTCATCACTCTGCTCTGGACCTTCACACAGCAGAGGCCCAACCCTGGCCACACAAAGCTCATTAATACTACCATTAACTCAAAGTACACAGACAGCCCAAGAAAAGAATCCTCTTCTAGTCTCAGAGTTGAACGCACTGGGCAGAACTGAAGCTCCTGCAACCCCCCTGCCCAGGGAAGGATCAAGTGCTTCAAGACAAATTTGCAATAGTCAAGAGTCAAACATCAGTGCATTTTCAGAATAAGGGAACAAAAAACGTAGAGAGAAAGAGAAATGGGAGAGAGATTTCCAGTAAGTTCATGCAGACATTTACCTTGTCAGGAAATACACAAGGAAAAGGCAGGTCAATCACATGAATGATTCTGCAACTATGGAAGTGGGTGAGATGTTGCTTCCTCAAGAAGTGGGTCCTCAAGCTACACTGGTAATCTCAGCTCCAACTAACACTATCTTATTGAAAGCCAAGGCATTGTAACTAGCACAGTGCTTGTAGTTTCTCCTCCATTACAAAAAATTAGATGCTCTTTTTATCTTAAGGAATATAGTAGGTTTGATGAAGGCTTCCTGAAGAACCTACAGCTGCAGCAGCAACAATTACACAATGCAAGTGCAAAATAGTTTCACGTTTTTGTTTTAGCCCTCCATTGTATTGAGGGAATCCCACTTCTGGTGGAACACTATAACCAATTCCAAGATAGAGGGTAAGGCATACAGATGCAATAGGGTGTTTTGTGACAGGAAACCTCCTCCAGTCCTGAGCGTCCAAGTAGCATTTTGGGATAGACCAGAGCACTTTGTGCTCCAGTTTTCTCTTCAACTGACTCTCTAACTGGAGTCAGAGAAAAATCCCAGAATGATAGGCTTGAAGAGGATGGCAGGGAAGCTTGGACTGGAGGAAGAAGCATTTCTTGAATTGACTTCCTTCCCCACACACCACGCACGGAATAGCTATGACAGTCAGGCAACTCCATCAGTGCAAGCCATGGAAAGGAAGGGCAGGCAGCAGTAGCAGCAATTGCACAACAACAGAAATGGAGCTGAGCCAGTGGAATGAGTGGCCACTCTCTTGCTTCTTCCATCCCTAGTTTCCTTCAAGGTCTGAAAAGAAACCAGAGAGTGCCAATCAAGGGAAGCAGCAAGTTATTTTGAAACTGCAGGCCCGCCAGCCTTCTTTTTTTTTGCGCCATCAACAAGCCCCCTCCCATCTACTGCATCAGTCCATGGTGGCCAGGGGTGGAAGTGGGAGGACAAATGCAATTTTCCAGTCATCTATGACATTTGCAAAACACTGCAAAGATTTTTGCCAAGTTTGAGTATGTCTTGACCCTTTTTTGCTTGCTAAAGATTTAGGCTTTTAAGCCACTGCCCACAAAGGATATGCTTATACCCCATTGCTTCAAAGATGCAGTAAGAAGTCCAGTATGTAGAACTAGGAATTTCCCTCTGTTCTAGAAGATGGTCTGGACACTAGGGATGCCCCACCACTGCACCGTTTACTGCAATTTCCCCAGGTGAAGAAATGTGCAAAGCACTGAACAGTACTTCCTGCCTCCACAATATTAGTTCCATCAACAGCAGTCACAGAGTCAGATAACACCAAAAAGAACAACACCACAGTGGCCTATCTGCAACTCCTGTCAGTGCATAGCAGCAGAGGGATGTTCTCTGGAAGGCCCATGCTCCATTCGCAGGGTTTCAAAGGAATACTTGTTTCCAATACAAAACAATGTCCAGAGAAGTTTTGAACTAGTGCCAGGTCCATTTCTCCTCTTCTCAAGCAGCCCCCAGCCATGCTCAGTCAAAAAGTAATCCTGTAGAGGTTTTCCAGGTGGATTCAAGTGTAAGTGATGTTTCACTGATGGTCACGAGGTATGCACTCCCTTGAATCATCAATATGAGCCATAGCGATCCTAAGAGGTGGGTGGGAGGGAAAGCAAGAGAGAACTTTGCAAATTATTGAAAACCTTACGAGAGTTTTCTAAGTATTTGAATACAGAAGCCGTCTCAAAGCTTAGCAGCTAAGGAGGCCATCCTGCTGAGCTCCGGCCTCTTTAGTGGAAATCTCGGCAGAGTTAACGTGAGACACGCAGCAAGAACATGAGAAGACCAGAATGGGATTTGCCTTAAGCCCCATCACTGAACAAAGGCAGCTTTTTAAAGAGGAATATGAAGCCCCTTTTTGTGACTGGAGTCTACATCTAGGTCCCTGTCTGAGTGAGTAAACTGATCATATAGGTGTTCCAGACATGCTTTAAGGGATGTATCTACAAAAAATATCACATACTGCTCAAACTTTATGGCCTTGGCTATCAGAGCGTACATTTGGTGACACTTCAATCCTTTTGCCAAGTCTACACAGCAAGTATGTAGTTCTCCACAAACCTCACCTGGAGGGAGTTCATCACACCATTGGCCAGAACGGCCATTTTGCCAGCCACAGACTTCACCCCTTGCTTGAACTGGGCAATATCAGCAGCAGGCAATACATTTCCAATTGATACACCACCTAGAGGGAAGCACAGATGACAGCATGAACCCATTAGGCAACTATACCATGTAAGGAAGTAACTCCTAAAAGCTACAGGCTGAGGTCCCAGACTGCAAGTCCATCATGGTCTTGTGATGTTCTGAGAGCAATCACCTCTGGGACACTATTTCAAAGGGACAAGCATCGCTCCTTTTGTTTAGGGACATACCAGAGTTCACTGTCTCAGACTCTCCAAAAAGGTCAGCAGAACTGATGGCATTGCTGCCCGAAAGTTGCTGGAGTCGAGATCTGGCCTCGTACTGGAAAACAGAAGGTACAAGAAGCAAGCTGAGGGTGGCCAGGTGGCTAGGTGACTTACTGCTGTACTAGCCAAAAAGACAGGTTGACGGTAGAGGTTGCACACAGCATTTACCTCAGCATCAGCTTCCCGGCCAAAGAACATGTCAGATGAGATGGCTTTAGCTCCTGCAAACTTCTGTCGAGCTTCATTGGACTCCACTACTGAGACCTTGTTCTCTGTCTCTCTTCTGTTGGTGGGTCTGAACAGAAGGGAAGAGAAAGCACTGACACCTTTGCATTGAGTACATGGCAAGCAAGATTGTTTGTGCACCTGACTCTCATAGTTAGAATTTAATGACAGTTCTGCACCCCCCCATAGATAGCCAAAGGGATTCGAGTTGAACTAAGATTCAGATCAGTCTTCGGCAAACTGGCGCCCCGCTTGCTGTAGTATTATTATTTTATTTAAAGCTTTTATATCCCATCCAACTACTACTGTCTTGGGATGGTTTTACAATAAAAGCAACACAAATGAAATAGAGCACAGCAACCAATGCACAGCATCTTGTATTAGACTAGACACCAGGAAGAATTTCCTCACTGCCAGAGCAATGGAACCCATTAGCTAGGGAAGCTGTGCTCTCTCTGTCACTGGAAATATTCAAAAAGTAATTGGACAGCCAACTGAGTGGGATGGTGTAACTGTCCTGCAATAGCAGGGGCTTGAACCTGATGGCCTTCTGGCCCCTTTCAACTCTATTATTCCATGATTCTATGACTAAAGTTCCCACCATTTCTAAAAGATTGGCTGGGTTGGAGGGAGTTGAAGCCCAAAGCATCTGAAGGTCCCCAGGTTAGAAAAAGCAGAACCACATCATTTAAGCCAGCCTTTGCCAAGCTGTTTGACAACGAATTCTGTCATCCCAAGCCAGCATGGTTTAAACTAGCCCTCAGTTCTCAAGTCAGCAAAAGCACAATTTCTCTCATGGCACTGGAAGTTCTCAGTAGCTTAGTTCAACGGTCATCCATCTGTTGATACTTTTTCATTTAAAAATATATTAGGTGCATATTATAGCTTAGTTTGTTGTTTGGAAAGTGGTCTAGGCAAAATGCTTTGGAAAGGCCTAACTGCTGGTTGAGAAGCAATACTACATGCCCCTAAGCCCTTCCTTCAAGCAACTTTCTATTCTGGGAAGAAATGCATTCATGTGTTCTACCTGTCACCAATAGGCCGGATACTGGAGATAGTGATATCTGCCTCCTCCTCTTTGTCAATCCCCCAGGAAGAATTGTCAGTTTCCCACTGTGAGCCAAAAGCATCTCCTAGAGAGAAAGGATTATCTTTGTACCTAGAAAACATGAGAGGGAAGATTATTTCACTGCTACATAAAGAAACATCAGACAAGACTGAAGAGTCCCTGCAAAGAAAGGTCAGTCTTACTTGGGTGGTCCAGATGTGAAACTTCCGGTATCTTCAAACATATCCAGCTGAGACCGAGAGGACTTTGCAGTTACTGGTGTTTCTTGTTCAATCACTTGCATCTCAGAGAGGACAGAGTGTGAGATGGAACTAGAAGGAAGACACGCCAAGTTAAAACCCTCCAGAGCTCTACATAGCGCAACACCTGCTTCCCAACAGTAGAACTACGTTGCCATTAAAAGAGGACCCAGATAGACTAGTACCTGGGTTAGAAGACAGCTAGAGATACTTATCAGACCTATTTGGCTCCAGTAAGGTTGCTGCATTTGTTTGCCTTCATATGATGCCTTGCATAAGCCAGCTCATGGGAAAAGCAGCGGCAGGCTTTCAATTGTGGGGTTTTGTCATGTTTAATACTGTGCTATATACCATGGAAGGACTTTTTAAAGTACTTAAGAAATAAAGGCATCTGAAGACAAGTGTCGCATATTCCAAGGATAGATCCCTCCAGATTGTACCGTAGCCTTCCCTCACCTGGTGCCCTCCAGATGTGCCCCTCCACCCTGGCACCACTGGAGGGCACCAGGATGCTATGCAGAAGAGCTCTGCATCATGCTCCTTATAAAAGAGGCATGCTGCAGTAGGACAAGTGCCACAAAAAAGCTAAAGATCTGCAGGAAAGGAACAGTCTTCTGACTGGTACAGCTGAAAAGGTACAGCTCATGGTTTGCTGTCAAGACTGTGAATTCACAAGCCACCCCACACTCCAGGACTCAGCTCACCACAGACAGGTTTCTTGAACACAATACACTCGCCAAGTGAGACAGTAGCAGCAGAATGGCCAAGTGACCTTGGAGCTGACATTACACAAGGACACCCACCCAGAATATTCCTTTTGTTCTTCAAGCACAGCAAGTACCTTCTGGACACCAAGCCCATGCCCAGCCTCTCAGCCTGTTCACGCTTCTTTCCCTCCAGATTCTGAAGCTTCTTCTCTTCCTTCTTCCGATCAATCTGCAGTTCTTGGTAGGCAAGTCTCATCGAGGCCACTCTGAGAGAGACAGTGGTATCAACCAGCAGCCATACAGAGCACGCCATATAACCTAAATTGGTACCTCAAAATTTTGAACATAAGGGTAGAACTGAGGAAATGGAGAACCAGGGAAGTATAATGGCCTACTCAATAGAAGGAACCACTGCATTACATGCTAGCATGTCGCCATTCCAGGAGTCTGAGTAAAAAACTTTGTGAATAACCTAGCCATCTGCTAACAAATGTGCCTCACTCACATAGACTCTTCTGCTTGCTTCCTGTACTCTGCAGCTTGCTGCTCCCTCAGCTTTTCAGCCACCTGGGCCTGCCGTTCAATTTCAGTGAAACTCTGGCTGCTCACTTTTTGAGCTCCAAGACCCTTTTTGGCTCCCATCTGGAAGTAAGAGAATAAGGATTCCAAGAAAACTAGGATTACATTAAACCTTTTCAACCATTAAAATACTAAGCTCATTAGAAGCAATCATTACAAACTTAAGAGGAATGGAGAAATTCAATGAGCAAATCTTGACATTAGCTTATTTTGCTATTTCAGGACTGATTTGAGTACTTGAGAAAGGAGGGATAAACAATGTTCCAAGTTGCAAGCTTTGTTTTATGCAGGTTCTAGTCCCCACTCAACCATGCAGCTCACGGGTGACTTTGGGTCAGGTGAGGACTCCCAGCCTAATCAACCTCAGAGAGTTCTTGTGGAGCTATGTAAGCTGCCCTGGGTTCATCTCAAGAACTAAAAAGGTGGCATATAGATTTAATAGTAATAATAACAACAATAATAATGAAGAGGAGGAGGTGGTGGTGGTGCTTTGAGATGCTATGAGATTAACAGTCTTAAATCTCTTCCTCAGTTTTCCAAACTCATCCCTGCATTTTCTATATGCAAAAGATTTGGTTGTGGGCATGCGAAAATTGAGTCAGTGATGAGGTAGTGATAACTGGCAGTTCCTGAGAAGGGTTCTTATTGGGACCTGGTATCTCAAGATGATGATCCTAAGCGCAGGGAACCAGGAAGGAGTGAGATGGCAGTAGCTGTCAAAGGTACCTCTCACTAATATAGTCTGGTAAGAAATGTGCACCTTTATTTAACAGCACAGATCCAATAAAAACATTAAGACCAATGTTTTAAATACCAACATTATGGATTGTACTCCCCACGAAAATTTGACAGCGCCAGATAACTGAAATTCTTTGGCAGCTTTCTAACGAGCCTGCTGTTTTTCGTATGGTTAGAGCTTGTGCTACATTGAAGTTGTTCTGATTTGTTGGTTAATTATTAAAGATCTTATATTGTCTCAGTAAGATAAGGTAAATGTCATAAACAAGTACATTTAGACTCCAAGATACTCTACAGGGATGAGAACCTTTGTCAATCTTGAGGCTAAATTTAATTTTGGAGAAGCTCTCAGGTGTGCCAGTGGTAGAATAAGCAGAAAGGCAAAAGATACCAGCCTACTGCAGTTTAGAGCTCCTACTGCCAGTAACTAAGGTTAGAAGAGGCATTTCACTCTTTTAATGGGGAAAAACTGCAAAAAAATCAAGAAGCAACAAAAACAGTGGTGGTTGGGAGAAAGGGAGCAAGGTGAGCTATGAAATCCTGGATGGCTAGAATCGGTCTCCAGGCCTGAGGTTTTCCACCTGTGGCCTAGAAGAGCCTTCAAATGCTTGCAGCTGTTGGGAAAGTGTAATCATTTGCCTCCCAACAGGAGAAAGCCACCAGGAACATTGTATACTGGTATTTCAAGCCATCGTTTCTCTGCATAAGCCATAAACCTTCACAGGACCTGAATGTAGTTTAATTGCCTCATACCCTATTCTACTGCAAACATGAAGAGAGATCATAAGGGTTCTCTGAATGACACTGGCACACCATAATTCAACAGCAAGAACATGATATTAGGACTTTGTATGAGGCAAGATTGTCCTCAATCCATGCCATTAAGAGATTCATTAAAGCCCAAGAATGTTTGGAAAGGTGCTTGTGTTGGCATTTAATGATCATGGGCCCAGTCAAATAAGCAGTATTTCTTATTTTCTATATCCCAAGCCTAAAAGGAAAAGCAAGCAATAAAATTTAAACAAATACAGCTTCCAGCTCCTTTAAGCAACATGGCACCTTGCAATTTGATACTACTTCTCTCTATGCTAGAAATAGTTGCACACAACTCATGTTAACAGCCATCCAAGAAATAAAGACCCAATTCATGAACTAGGTATATTCTGAATGATTACTGGTTTTCAAATCACCCCATCCCCAAAGCTAGACAGTTTTGCTGACCATAAATAGCATACAGAAGGAATAAGAAAGTGAGTCTCATTAGGGAAAATCCACATCAGTCTACAAAACTAAACAGCAAACAGGATAGTTGCCAAAGGACCCCCTAGGTGGCAATATACCAGGGAGCAAGACTTAACTGGAAAAAGAAAATGGATGCATGCAAGCAGAGAGACAAAGTCCCTTTCTGTAGACATACCCCTTTCTTTGTAGCACCTGGCTTCTTTTTTCCAATGAGAGAAGGTTTGATTTCTGTAAGAAGAAAGAAGTAAGTGAACAGGAACGAAAGGCTTCAATACAGAACCTGGTGTTAGTACCAAGACAAGCAGCAATAGTTTCAGCCTCTTCCAGCACAAGGGCTGGCAAGTGTACCATATATGGTTAATACATATTGCCAACTGTTAATGCCAACAGTCCTGGCAGCAGTGCACAGAAATCCAGAGCCATTTTGAAAGAGCACACCATGCAGTTTCAGACTAACAGTTTCTTGGTCCTCCCCAGTTGAGAAGCAGCATAAAATCATGCCAAGAAAGGTGCTTCAAAGTACACAGTTTAGAAAAGAAACTTCAGTTCTCCCAGAAATGACATTTGCTTAACAACTGCTGTCCAAGAATCCCAAGTGTGCCTGGGATACAAAGAACTTAGCAATTCCAAAAGACTCAAAGCAGCGCCAAAGCTAAAATGCCTCCCTGCAACTCGAACCATCTGTGCCCAGGTGGCTGACAGCAGAAATGCCATAGAGCACAATGTATGCTCAACTTCATTTGGCGCGTAATAGCACCTTGCTTTCCATTCAGAAGGACTTGAGGATACAAGACGGACAAACAAGAACCACAGGAATGGAGGCAAAGGCATAGGTAGCAAGTGTAGGCTGTTAGCCAGTTACCTCTGGCAGCAGCAGACCCTTGCGGAGACAGACACATGGATGCGTCTGAAGGAGAAAAAGACACGCATATATTGGGAAACAAAAACGGTGAGTTCTAGGTATAGTTGGAGCTCTGATGTCTGACCATCAACAAGAGGTCCAAAGCAAGACCAGAGGCCAGGATGTGTAAGTCTGGCAGAGTTATTTATTGGACTGTGAACAAGCTATGTGTCTGTAAGCTCCCCTTTTCCCTACTCCATATACATTTCATTTTGACAAAAATATCCCCGTTTCTTAAACTACAGCACTAGGAAATAATATTTAATTTCTATACCACTCATAGCCAAAGCTGCCTGGGCACTTTACAACGAAGTATAAAAACAATAAAATACAGCGGATAAAAACATTAACAGGAATTAAAAATTAATTTAAAACAGCATAAAATAACATTAAAGGGTAATAAAAAGATAATTAAAAAGGTCCAGCCAAGAATAACAGAAAAGCAGCAGGCTAATTGTGTCAGGCCCCTGAATGACTAGGGAGATCTTTGAAGGCCTCCACAAAGAGGCCTATCATAATTGGGTGTGGAAAATTTGGTACCAGGTGCCTGCCCAAATGCTATGTATTATGTGTCAAGGGAAACAGACATTCTTCCACTTACCAAAAGAGCCTTTGGGAGATGTGCACAGTGAGTCAATAGAAGGACCCTGGTCAGGTTCTACAGGCAAAAACACATATCTGTCTGTGCATGAATATTTTAATGGCAGTTAATCTACACCAAAGAAAATATACTTCCACATCTACTACAATGATTCTAAAAAGTAATTAAAGTTGTCCAGTCAAGGCAATGATTTCTTCTAGTTTCACAAAAGTGATGTTCTAGGAGCATCACTCATGCCTGTTCAAAAAGACTCCAAGTAGAAATTATCTGGCTAAGCCAGCAGAGACTACGAAGAAAATGCTGGGAGCAAAGCACATGACACATGACAACCACCCATAACATGGTTAGGGACCCTCTAGCCTTCAGGCCAAATGTGGCCGACCAGTTGGTTCATCTGGCCCATGCAGTCTCAGGCAAGGTCGCCTCCAAAATGTTAAAGAGCCACTTCTTTAAAACAGAGATTGGTCAGAAGAGTAACAGAGCTGCAGTTAAGCTACTTCACTTTTCCCTTGCCTTTCCTGTGGAGGGAATGAGAAGGAAGAATATGACTGGTTGAATCCACTTTGCTCCTCCATTGCCTTTCCTCCCCTATGTGTGGAAGGCAACAGAGGAACAAAGTGGTAAGCTTTGTTCCAGTGAGGGCTTTCCTAGTCAGGGAAAGCTTTGATGGAACATAGCTGGCTCCCTGGCTGAGATGCCAGCTGGAAGAGCATTCCTCTAGCCAGCTCCTACATTCAACCACGGGCAGAGAATCCAAGTTCCCAGCCCCTGACCAGTAGGGAGGTAAGAATGCAAAATTTATTTAGTTAGTTTAATGCTTTCAAGTAGGATAAACGGGTTTTTTCTAACGAGTAATTTGCTAGAAATGTGTTCAAATGAGAGTTAATTTTATTTATTTATTTATTTATTTATTTATTTATTTATTTATTTATTTAAACATTTCTATGCCGCCCCTTGCCGAAGCTTCGGGGCGGCTCACAGCACAGAATAAAATACAATAAAATACAAAAATAACAATATAAAACCAACAATATAAAATAAATAACAATATAAAAGAAGTCGCCCTGGCCAGATAAATAAGCAAATATTGTTAACAATTAAAATGACGTTTAAATAAAAAGGTCTTCGCCTGGCGCCGAAAAACAAATAACAACGGCGCCAGGCGGACCTCTCTGGGGAGCACATTCCATAGATTGGGCACCACCGCAGAGAAAGCCCTCCTCCGAGTACCTACCCTCCTAATTTCTTTCACAGAGGGTTCCCGGAGAAGGGCCTCTCCCGCAGATCTCAAGGGGCGGCCGGGCATATATGGATGTAAGCGCTCCTTCACGTAACCAGGATCCAAGCCGTTTAGGGCTTTATAGGTCATCACCAACACCTTGAATTGGGCCCGGACTTCAATGGGAAGCCAGTGTGAACATAACGCCCAGTCCCCGTCAGCAGCCTGGCAGCTCTATTTTGAACCAACTGAAGTATCCGGACCGTCTTCAAGGGAAGCCCCACGTAAAGCGCGTTACAGAAGTCAAGGCGGGAAGTCACCAGCGCGTCTGTCACCGTCCCCAGGTAGTCGTATTCCAGGTAGGGGCGCAGCTGATTAATCAGCCGAAGCTGTTTAATTAATCGCCACTGCTGTCACCTGAGCTTCCAATGAAAGCTCCGGGTTGAGAACCATAGTCCCCCAGCACCACCTTCTGGAACCGGCTGTTGAGATAGGAGCGGAACCACTGCAAAGCAGTGCCTCCGACCCCCAATCCCGCTAGCCTATCCAGAAGGATACCATGGTCGATGGTATCGAAAGCCGCTGAGAGGTCCAGGAGAACCAACAGCGACACGCTCCCCCTGTCCTTCTCCCTGCACAGGTCATCGTACAGGGCGACCAAGGCAGATTCAGTACCGTACCTGGGTCTGAAGCTGGACTAGATAATCAGTTTCATCCAAGAGTGCTTGAAGTTGCCCCACTACCACCCGCTCTAACACCTTGCCCAGAAACGGGATGTTGGCCACAGGTCTATAGTTAGTGGCCATCTCTGGATCCAGTGATGCTTTCTTCAGGACCGGTTGGACTACTGCCTTCTTTAAAGGCGCAGGCACCCGACCCTCCCTCAGAGAAGCGTTAACCACTTCCAAGATCCAGGTCCCAATCCCGTGCTTGGAATTATTTATTAACCAAGACGGGCAAGGGTCCAATAGGCAAGTGGTGGGACGTACTCGTCCAAGCACCTTGTCCACATCATCGGGCCGTAATAACTGAAATTCATCCAATAATTCTGGACCAGACGGCAGCATTGGTGTCTCCCCAGAAACCTCTGATTCATTAGTGGTGTCCAGCTCGTGACGAATCTGAGCGATTTTCTCCCTGAAATGCCTGGCAAAGTCATCACAGCGGGCCTTTGAGGGTGGAACCGGGCGAACCAGGCCTTGCACCACTCGAAAAAGCTCCGCCGGACGGCATTGTGTGGAGGCAATGGAAGCGGAAAAAACTTCTTTTTCGCTGCCCTCACCGCCACAGCATAGGCCCGATAGTGGGCTCTCAAGTGTGTTTGGTCAGATTCATCCCATGATCTCCTCCACCTATGCTCTAGCCGTCTCCCAACCTGCTTCATCGCCCACAATTCAGGTGTATACCAAGGGGAAGAGCAGGCTCTGCCCGGTGGGAGAGGACGCTTAGGAGCGATCGTGTCCACAGCCCTGGTCATCTCCCCGTTCCACAGTTCGACCAGAGCCTCGACAGGAGCACCAGTCTTGTCAGCCGGAAACTTCCCCAGGGCCTTCAGGAATCCATCCGGCTCCGGGGGCGGACCCACACAATCGGGTCCGCACCCTTGCAGAGGGAGAGGCCGCTCTCGAGCACAAACCTCACCAGGAAGTGATCTGACCACGATGGTTGTGGGCACTCCCTAAAACATGCATGAATCAGCTAAATTATTTCTTATCTTCTCTGATCACACTACAAGTATCACTGAAAAGATCCTGTGCTCATCATTTATCCTGAAAACAAGTACGAACAAGAATTTTCCCCAGCAATGTCTAGGCAGTTTCTGTACTGGAGCTACATATTTATTTGGCTTTGATAGTAGTACTCACGTGAAACCTCGCTGTTTTCAGATGGCTTTGCTGCTTTGTCCATCTCTAGTGAAGCCACAGCCATACTCTGGCCCATCTCAGCGGCATCCCAGATATTACTTGCCTTAAAGACAAAGAAGCAGCCCACAGAGAGATTCAGCAATTTGGATCAGTCAGATTAGTCACAATCTAGATGTTAAACAATGTAACTATTATAAACCCTGGTTAATTAGACATGGATTTCAAGTGCATAAAAGCCAGTAAGAACTACTGTTGTCCTCAAGTATTTAACATACACCCCAGAGTAATCTTAATCTCACTCTTGCTTCTTGTGAATAGAGTGCAGGCAAGCCCACCTAGGGCTTTGAAAATACTTGCAAACCTGTTTGGACATAACTGTTCCTTGGCCAAATACCTTTGCACAAAAGCACCCATCTCACAGCACTAGAATTACAATTCTAGGCATGTTTACACAGAACTTCAATTGAAATCAATGGGACTTCCTGTTGAAGGTCAAAATGGAAGTCTGTCATTCATCTCAGAGTGGAGGTATTCCAGATAAAAGGCACAACGTGGCTTTGGTGGATGTGATCAATGGTCCACCTAGTTCAGCAGTCCATTTCCAACACTGGCCAGTCTGAAACCTCTTAAAAGATCACAAGTGGGATACAAAGCAACAGTCATTGTCTGTTTCCTTCCAGGATTTAGTATGTGGGAGTATACAACGTCTCTGAAACATTGTAAAAATGCAGACTACTGCTTATCTTTACTGAGGAGACTATCGAAATGGGAAGGGCCTGCCTCTAAATGGAAGACTGAGGAGACTATCGAAATGGGAAGGGCCTGCCTCTAAATGGACACAGGCTTGGCATGCATAGGAATCCCAGGTTCAATTTTCAGTTAGAGGTTCTTGTTTAAGAGGGCTAGGAAGATCACTGCTGCCTGAGAAACTGGAAAGCTACTGAAAGTTAGACCACATAAAACTGAGCAAAACAGAGCACTGAACTGACTTGATATAACACAACTTCATATATCCATTGACAGCTCACAACGTAGTTAATATGCCAGGCCCAACTCACTGAGCCAGATGGCTCAATTAAGTTCTTCTGTACAATTTCTACTATCTCAAGAGGCTAAGTTAAAACCCATTCTTGATCTATACAACTTCCAGCCAATGCATCAAATATGACTTTGGATGGAACAGTAGGCCCATCTTACCTGTGTGTGTTCCAGGAAGAAGTCAGCATCACTCTTTTCTGGAGAGTGACCTGGAGTTCCACTCAGCCCATCAATCAGGAGCTGAAAAAGGAGAGGGTAATCTGCTGGGTGAAACAGTAAGCTTCATGATTCCTCATCTTTTTCAACTGAGCACATGTCCTTTTGTACCTACATCGTTCCCATACTTGGCCATGGCAGCACTTGCCAGCTGCCGGATCTTCTCCCGGTACATTTGAGCTGCACGGCTATTATACTTAGCACTGGCGTCTGTGGTGGTACAGCCATACTGACGGAAAAAGGCGATCTGAAAAAAAGAGTTGCAGTTGCTTTCCAGGACAAAAAGGGGAAAACATACTGAAAAGAGTGAAGGACATCTTGCAACTAGAGGGTTTGATTTCAAACGAAGACTTATAATGGCTTCACTTCTACTTGGATCAAAGTATTTCAGAAATTCAAGGAAAGTTTACAATGTCGTATTATTTGTTTTAAAATAACAGCTTGTTGAGCATTTTCCTCTTAAAATACAACATCAGCCACCTCCCATACTAACAGGATCCAGGCATGTGACCAAACAATACTAAATTCAAATGACTCCTTACCGCATTGGCATTGCTACCCACTTGCATACATCTCAGCTGGAACCAGCTCCAGTTGGAATCAAGTTCTGTAGACCTGATAAGAAAAGAAAAACTCTCTCAAGCAAGATCACAAGATTAGACTGAAAATGTTCAGTCAATATGATAGAGCTGGACGTGATTCATAACTAGGGCCCTCAAACCACTTATTCTAGCCTTCTTCAATTGTGTCCTTAGACTACAGCTCTCATCATAACAGACCATTGGCCACGCTGGCTGGGTTGATGGTAGTTAGAGCCCAAAACACCGCAAGGGCACTAGGTTGGGAGAAAGCTGATCAGTTCTTTCCTTTGTTAGCTTGGGGACAGCAGTTCATATGTGCAATGATTTAAAGTGTTATGAGTATGTTCCTTTAAATGCTGGTAAGTTGCAGAGGAGCAAGGAGGGTAAAAGGGGGGATGAGTGAGTGAGGCGATTTGTTAGTGACTGAGAGTATATGGGCAGAGTCAGCTTAGAGTCAGTGCAGCATTGGGTCACAAGGATGGGGGCTGGATTGCAGAGGAAGCTGTATGAGGTAAGACTGGGGAACTGGGTCTTTTCAGCTTGGAGAAGAGGAATCTGTTGGTACGTGGGGGGTGTCATGTGGAGGTGGGCCGAGGCCTGTTTTCACCTGCAGAGGAGAACAGGATATGTTCAAATGGAACAAAGCCCAGGGAACCAAGGTTCAATTTGGATGCCAGGAAGTACTTTCTGACAGTTGGGACTCCTAGAGTATGGAATGGGCTTCCACAGGAGGTGGCTGAAGCTCCATTGGTGAGGGTGTTCAAGGATAGGCTGGACATGGACATAGTAGGCAAGTCATAAATGCAGCCGGCTGGAGCTGGGGGTCAGGCTAGATTGCCCAAATACCCCTTCTGACTCATTCTGTTTCTATGTTTCTATTTTGTTTATTGTTAAAATAGAAAGACAATGTTACTGTCTTTAGCCATAGACCATTTGAATGCCAGTATCTCATCCTTAGGACCACCTAGTCCAACGAAGGAGCCTTATAGCATGGGCACAATAAAGTGAGACATTAATTAATAGGATTGGAATTAAAGACACACCATATCCACACAGATTATAGGAGAGTACTCATGACAATGAGTAGACTTTTAGCTGCATTGAACTCAGTTGTCTGAACTCTTTTTACCTGAATGAATAAACTTGCTTCCAGACAGTTTCAGCTTGAATAAAATGGGCTGGACAAATTTATCCAGTTACTTAAGTGCTGGCATGGTGAATACATTTTGGGACATGGGGGTGAAAACATTTCTAGTTATTCAATCTCACTGCCTCTCATAAGAACTCAAACAGATGGATATAACAAAGCCCCAGAGGATTGCAAATTTGAGGACTATGGTAACATGTGCATGCACAGGAAGAAAGGCTGTATTTTGAGCAATCATTTATTTAATACACAGATTCAGAAGCGCAAGTGAACACAAGTGGTCTCCTCGCATCCATGAAATTTGTCTTTAGTCCAAATGTATGAGTTGCTTTACTCAATATGGTATTATCAGCCATTAAATACCAAGAGACCATTATGTATCCAACTCCTCACATTTCTGCTACATGGCACAGCAACCAGGAATGGCTAATGCCCTGCTAGCTCAACTGAAATCACAGAAGATAAAGGCCATTTGCCCCAACATGGAATTCTACTTCCGTTCACCAAAAGAGAACTGGGAATGTTACAGACTAAGAGCAAATCTAAGGGCTGAAGACCTTACTCTGTAAGTTCAAGAATTAGAATACTTTTTTACTTGACTTTTTTTTTTTACTTGACTTACTTCTGTGAGAGCAAGTGCAAGCTTTCAAGCTGAAATCAGGTAAGTGAACAGATGTACTAATAAAGAAGATGAAAAAACAGACTTTCAAGAGTAGGTTCACATATATTCATCATTTGATTATGGTAACAAAATCATTACTTGCATACATGAAACTAAGATTAATGGAAAGGTTTTACAATCACAGCACATCCTCTCATCTTATGAGAGAGGCAACTCCCACATGCAGCAGAAAAATATCAACCTAGTTCACATGTAACACCTATTCATGCATTGTTTAACTAATGAGTCATCAGGGCCAATAACAAGTAAGTGTATTTGTTGCTTCTACTTTCAATCAGCTTTAATCAACAACATAATAATGCATCATCCCTGGCTTTCTGGATGTGACTGCTGGTCCAAAACCAACACTCTGGATCATTGGTGGGTTAACCAACAATCTTAGGTGTTTAACACTACAGCAAGCCATGGGACATTCCAAGGCTGTTGATTAAAACTGATTCACAATGGAAGTAGTAAGTGGGCTGATGCTTTTTCCCTCACTTACAGGCCCAACAATCCATGGCTAAAACCTCCACAGGTTGTTGTTATATGAGGACAGGAAATCTATGAATAAAATCAGCCTGAATGTAGTACAATGGAAACTTTTTAATATAATCCTGGAGAGGGGAACTAGGGAGGACTTGCAGAACTTTATGTCAATTATTCTTCCATAGGTGTGGGAAAAACCTCTACCCAATTCTCTTGAAAAGGGGCTTGAACACATGAAAATTCTACCACTATTAAATGCTCAACAGATACTTCTCAGTGCTTTCCACATTTTCAAAATTTTTCTGAATATCCAGCTGCTCCAGAACAGAAATATATTAGTTCTCCCACCTTCCATTGTGGAGCATGTAGCAGGCAGTTGCTGCTTTTACTAAATGACTTGTAGGTTAAGTCTCACAAACCACAATTAAACTGCTCTCTTGGGTTTGGATGACACAAGAAACTCATGGACTGAACAACCCCAGGAACATTAGCCAGAGTGCTGAAAAAGTAAGCCACCTTGTGGAAATCAGTCTGAGTGAGAATGACACAACAAGCCACCATGGCTAATTACCTAAAATGGGTTGTCACGTTGTGTGGACCAGCTCCATCAGTTAATGTACACCATTCTACTAATATTTAAAATGGTTCTATTACATTTGCAAACATTTATGCATTTACACACCGTATGAAATTGAGTTTCTTTAAACCATCACACCTTGAAGTCTATTTTTAAAAAACTCCCCTATTGTAAAAGAGCAAATATACATTTCTGGGTAGGCAAGAGATTACACTAAAGTGCATTCATTGCTTCTCTGACTATCAAGTTTAACAGTAAATCATAGCTCCTGTTATCTCATCAGGAAAGTTCTACACCAAAAGTAGTACACATTAGCTACAAAGTCTTCAAAACGCAGAATGCTAGCCTAGTGAGAGAAATGGGTTAGATCGTTCTTAGCTACTTCAAGGTTGGTTTTTTTTTTAATGTATGAATTCATAGATGGTTTTTGGAAAAAGAAACTACTAATTCTATCACAATTAGACAAGGTGCCAGAGCTTACACAATGAACCATAAGCATTATTTATTTAAGTCTTTGAAAGAAACCTATAACCAATACATTTTCTATTACGGCAAAGAAGCTCGTACTCACCGGATGAAACTGAGGTGCACACCCAGCGATCGGTGGACTCCGGAACAATCGATACAAAGAAATACTCCATAGGTGACACTGGCCCAACTCGGATTCTTTGCACCACAGTCAAAACAGGCCTAAAAGAAACAGAAGAGAAAGTTCGAAAGAGGAAGAAGAGTCACTGGTGAGAAAATGGAGTAACAGCGCACAGGAAGGGGGAAACTAGACTAGTCATTCGATGTTGCCTGAAACCAAGGCTGACCGTCGGCCTCCCAGCCCACCACTGGCTAGTCTGAGTAGCAGCAGCTCTCCAAAGTTATTCCCAGGCCTAATATTCGACAGCCTCTTAAAATCAAAGTTAGCAAGGCTTACACCGGGTAACTTTGGTACGCAAACCCGATGTTCCGCCACTAAGCGACGGTTTTAAACTCACACGCTCCGTCCCTTTAAGAAAAAAAACAAACACCTAACCACCATCCCTGATACAAAAGGACGGTGGGTGACGGTGGCCACGGTACAGAACGCGCCGGGGTGGGGGTGGGGGGGAGGTGTTTGAGACGGGACCGGCAGGAGGCTGTCCTCGGAAACGGCCGCCAGCAAAAAGAAACGCCGGAGAGCCACCGAAAAGCTTCCTCCTTTAACACCGCGCACTCGGTACCTTGTTCGGCGGTGCAGCCCGCAGCCGCTTGAAAAGCGTCTGAATCTCCGTCTTGCTGGGCCCAGACGCCATATTTTCTTTCTCCCAACAACCACCGCAGTTGGCAACGGATCGCCGTAAGGGCCAATGCTCGCGAGGGTGTTTCCCTAGACGGGTCTTCTCTAGGATCAGTTCAGAGCGAGCTGTTGGTATCACCGCCATGACACGCGAGGCAAAGTAGGCCGCGGTTGGTCGAGAACCAGTATTGGGGCCCCGGAGCTACTGTGGAGCAGGGGACGATGCCCAAAGCCTGCTCTGCCATTAACTGTCCCAACCGGGACACCCGGGAGAACCGCGCTAAGGGCCTGTCGTTCCACAGGTCAGGACTTATGGTCCTATAGCACTGGGCCTCGGAAAGGGTGACGGAGACTAAGCGTTGAGCCCTGGGGGCAGGGCTTTGTGGCAGTCAGTGTCACCATTCGCCACAGCTCCTTTTCCAGCGTGGGAAAAGCGAATTCTTTCATTTGTTTTTTCCTTTCCGTAGCTTCCCCAAAGCTCACGAACTGAGGAAGAAGTGGATACTGGCTGTGAATCGCATTGAGCCTAGTTCCAGGAAGTTGTGGATCCCAGGTTCTGGTGCTTGCCTGTGCTCAGAGCACTTCAGCCAGGAGGAGTTTGAGATCTATGGAGGGCAGAAGAGGCTGAAGGCTGGTGTGATCCCCTCAGTCTTCTCCTTTAAGGTATCATGGCAAAGGGAAGAGAATTATCCTAAACGGGGCTAGTGAATAGTGAAAGTCCCACAGTATATGGAGAGTGTTGATTTCACTTTAGGATCTTTATATTGGACTTGAGACCTTATTCAAGTCAATTGTTGGAATAATGCCTGAAGTAGGAAACCTGTGCATCCTGAATCACACTTCCATTGTGGGCTATGGAAGATGATACAACTTGTGACAGATTATATTTTTTCAGCACATAAAATGCCCTTACCAAAATCCAGACATTAGTTCATCATGTCCTGTTGTATTTGCTTTGACTCTTATTTTGTCCCAAGTTCTTTTGCAGTCTTACCATCTTTTTAAGTGGAATTGGTAGGGATACAACATGAAACTTTCTGTAATAAGCCTGCTGTATTACTGAGTTACAGAGTCCAACTGACTACTTAAGGGTATATTCTTATACATAATTAGTCAGAACACCCAGCATCCTCTAGTTAGCATGTTCCAGCTAGCCTGGTTGACTGGGGCATGCTGGGAATTTTAGGAACTCCCCCCCCCCCCACACACACATCTAAACATGCATAGGTAACATCCTAAAACTACAAGTGTTAGAATATGGATGCAACATGTATATTGGGTAAAAAGTTCTAGCCTAGTCTTTTCCCTGACATGGTAGTTTTGAATGCACAGAGAGTTTGCTTTGAGTGTGTGGATGAACCTTTTGTCTGACACAGCAGCACTTGCTTTTTGTGATGCTCATCATGTATTTTTGTCTGTAGCTGCAGTTCTATTTTCCATGTATTTTGGGGTTCTTAGTCATAATCCAAGCCATGTTGCTGTATTACATGAAATAATAGGGATTTCAGTAGATTTTCAACCAAGACAGAAAACCAAGATGCAAGCAAGAGCAATAAAAGCAGCACACCTGAATTTGAGATAATAGGCCTAAAGTTTATCTAGTATTGTTCCATATTTTTTAAAATAGCCCTGACTAACTGTTCTTGATTGTATTGTTTCTGAAGTTGTGTATCATGTTTGCATAACTTAGACTGTTAAGTGTGAGGCCATCTACAGCCTCTGAAATCATATTGATACCTTAATTAAAGAGGCTTACAAAGGAGGACTGCATACAGGAGGCTGAGAGACAATTCTTCGGTACCTGCTTTTTCAGGCCTCTAACTTGAGGTCCAGCTTAGAAATACAAAAACAAAGTACACAATCAGATGAAGGAATTTCCTAGAGAAGTGCAAGATCAAATCTTCAGAGCAGCCTTGACCAGGCATCTTCTATCCAAAATAACTCATCAGAAGTACCTTATCAGATCTGCAGAGGCTTCTTATAGTGTCTCTATTCTCAGTCACATGCCAGCAATACACTTTTATTTATGGAATGTTCCTACTTTCCAGAAGAAACTACTGTCTACTGACAATTGTCCAGCAAATACCATCTTAGCCACCATGGATGTTGGCACCCTTTAACCAGGAGTAGCCATGTGGTGTCTATAGGCATTAGTGCAGTCTTGGACAGCTTTCTTAGCACCCACCAAGGTTTCCTAGCCTTCTACCTAATTTTTTATTTAAAAAAAAGGCTTAGTAGTACCTGATATTGGAAAAAGCAGAGTGAGGGACTCTAATTGTTCCCAGCATTTTTTCCCATTAATACCTCCTGGTCATAAGTGGGACTTAGAGTCATTTTTAGGAAATGAAAATGCAGGAGACTGCAGGCTGCTGCTTTCATCTGCAGCCCTGCTTATTTTGTTCTGGTGCTTAGAACTGAGCCTCGCATCAGCGCATGCTCCCAGGACCCAAAAAGTTTGCTTACCCCACTTTACACCAACACCTCTCAAACAGATAGACTACAAGCTATCAGGAATACCATTCTTGATAGTGTTATGGTACATCTAGCCCCCAACTTTTGATACTTTGTACTTATGTACAGTTCAGATTTAGGGACAAGCTGTTTCCTGAGGTCAGTAGCACTGCCGTAAGCACGAACATGGCTTCATGATATACCAGGGTGGCCAAACTAAAACTTGGTAGCCACCTATGGCTCTTTGAGTTTATTTTGCAGCTCTTCATTTGCCACTGTGGGCTCCTGCGGGATCCTCTTGCCACTCGCCAGCTGTTACCACCATCTTCAAGCACCCACTTGCAGCCCTCAAACATCTAACTTTTACTGAATGTAGCTCTTCCTCTGAGTAAATTTGGCCACCCCTGCAATATACCAACATCTTCATAGCTGACTCAGAATAACCCTTCGTCAGTTCTTGTCCCCAAAGCCTTTACTCTTTCTGAGGTACATTGCTGACATTTTTATCATCTTGGTTTATGGACTAGAGGCTCTTGAGACATTCCCTTGGGATTCAAGTGACTTTTAATCCTAGGCCAGTCCCTGCAATAGATTCATTTTATGGATGCTACTGTGCAACTACGGAATGGGTGTATAAACACTATCTTACATTGGCAAGCTACTGACCACTGTGCATAATTAACATGCTTCAAGCTTCCATCCAAAACACACATCCACCTAAGCTTTGCAGTACAACTGTCTGTTCAGATCCATTGGACAGAGATTCACAACCAAAAAACTGGTTTGGCATTTTTCAACCTAAAATACCCACCAAATGAAGTTTAAAAAAGGTGAAGTAATGCTAAACTGATCATTTATTATAGACAAGTCCTGGAAGAGAAATCAATGAACCAGTCGTCACCTATAGTTCCCAACTGAAACCACATCAAAACTATCAGTAGCTACAATTCATCCTGGATAAATAACACTTCCTTCTCCCAGCAACAAGACCATGTAACAAAGATAAGACACAGATACTGGGACTTTTTGCCTTGCAAAAAACCCAAGTGCCAACTCTGTCCCCATAGCCATTTTGGCAATAGTGTTACAAGGAAATAATGCCATCCACAGTCTCAAGGATTCATCCTCTTGTTCATCTTTCATATTATATGTGCCACTATCTCCCTACAGTACCCTTCTGCATAATATGCAGAACAAACAGTCCAGTCTCACCACAAAATATGTGCACAAAATAGATGCAAATTTGACACCAAAATATGGTGGAATACAAAAGCATTGCATCTTCTCAAGACACTGCACTGACCTTACAGTAGAGCAATGGAACTTGAATGGTAGAAAAAATGTGAACCCACTGAATTAATATTTATAAAACGGTTCCAATGGCTGGCAGGGACATGCTGGGAGTTTTAGGCCTTTTGTTCTATTTAAATCTGCATACGAATGTGCTTTTCCTTGCTTTTGCTGACTAAGAAGAGAGTAACATGGTTACTCACCCCAGATACCATAATCAAAGATTCCAGTGCTGCAGATTTGCTGGTAGAAGCTACTAGATTTACATTCCATGGGATACAGTCCTGAGAGCATCCTCTTTTTTGCGCTTGACATGACATACTTTTTTTTTCTTTTTCCTTTGGCCAAGTGTGTTAAAAGGATAGTAGGGGCGTAATCCTGGTCTCTCCCTTGCTGGAATTTGAAGTCCTCTCTCCAGTTTCTTATACATGTTCCACTGGATTGTCATTGGCTGCCCTTGCATGTAAAGGCTCTTATCATTGGCTTCTTGACTAAAGAGTCTTTCCCTCCCTGGATGGACCCTGAAAGTTGTCCCAGAAGCCCTTTGCCCAAGTAGCAATATTGGTCCTGTCTTGTGTGGGCTTTCCTCCTTTGCCATTGTGTATTGTGCAGCAATGGGAAAGTGATTGTGAAGCACCGAAGGGAACCTGAGCTCCTGCTTGGCAAGGTGCCTGGGGTCTTGCTGTAGCGTGGTTTTTGCTGGCTGTGCCGCTGGGACTGATGGAATGAGAACACAGTACTGTGTGGGGGGATATACCTGGCTTTTGCCCCCATTGTCATTAGTTCTTTGTCTGAGTTCAGTCTACATGATAACCTATACTCAAAGATTGTGTGTAGGTTAATGAGTTGTCACTGAACCATGTGTTGTTGTTAAAACGTGTTATCATGTTGTTTGAGCTCAGCCAAGATGATAAACCATGGTGAACAACTTAAAGTTCACAGCCCAGCAACAAAACATGGGTTCTGTTCATGGGATGTTTGTGGTTAACATGTCATGGTTTGTTCAATCAGCGTAATAACCCACATTTCAGCAACAACCCACAGCACAGTGCTGCCAGGAGCACTGGGTGTGCATATATGTGTGTCATTTTAATGCCACTTTTGGATTGTTTGCATTTGGTTTTTCCCTTTGTTGGAATACACTTTGGATGGCCTGCCAGCATAGCAATGATGTATTTCTGATCCTAGCAAAAGGTACCTTTGAAAAAAAAAAGATATTTTTTCTTACATTATGTAAGTTCTGAAGTGCATTTCTGTGCCCTAGGAAGATTTGTTTGCTCTCTGTTTTTGTTCTTCCTCACATGTACCTAAGAAACTGCATATTTATAGTCACAAAATAGTCAAAAGCTTTTTATGTTTTGGGAAAGAGCAAGAATGAGTATTTATGTAACTTTTCCATTTTACTTATTTATTTACTGTCGTCTCTGGACGGCTTACAACATTATTTCAAACTACAATAAAATAAGATAAATTAACTATTCCACACTGAGCATCATTTAAAATAAATTAAATTACTATATGATAAAATATTGGCCAAATAAAAAGGTCTTGACCTGGCGCCGAAAAACATATAATGACAGCGCCAGGCAGACCTCTCTAGGGAGTGCATTCCATAGTTGGGGTGCCACAGCAGAAAAGGCCCTCCTCCAAGTACTTTGTCTCCTGACCTCTTCCAAAAAGGGTTCCCGGAGGAGGGCCTCTGCTGCCGATCTTAGGGGGTGGGAGGGCATGTAGGTAAAAAGGCGTTCCTTTAGGTATCCTGGTCCCAAGCCATTTAGGGCTTTATAGGTAATAACCAGCACCTTGAATTGAGCCCGGACTTCGATGGGAAGCCAATTTATTTATTTTATTTATTTAAACCGTTTTTATGCCACCCCATTCGCAAAAAGCCTCAGGGCAGCTTACAACAATAATAAATAAAC